AAGAAACACATCAACTAATCAACAATATATTTTCCGGCATCCATCTCACCAAAGAGGAAGAGAACAATGATCAGTTGCCATTCTTGGACGTGCTCGTGAGAAGACATGCTTCTGGGTCACTGGAAACAACAGTTTATCGGGAAGCGACCCACACCGATCAGATCTTAAACTATCGCAGTAACCATCCGATCATATACAAGCGAAGTTGCGTGAGGACGCTTTTCAAACGGGCCCTGACACATTGTAGCACGCCGCAACTGAGGAAGGCGGAGGAAAACCACCTATTTAGCATGTTTCAGCGAAATTCGTACCCTAGAAGCTTTATTCTACGCTGCCTGATGTCGAAGAGCCAGTCACAACCCGCATCCACATGTGCAACAGAAAGAAGAACGATTATCCTACCTTACATCCATGGGATTTCTGAAATGGCAGCGAGACTTCTAATGCCTCACGGGATAACTGTTTCACACGAAGCAACGGAAACCATACGAACTAAACTATTTAAGGTGAAGGACAAACTCACTAAGAAAGAAACATCGGGTGTAGTTTACAAAATTTACTGCGAGAACTGTGATGAGTACTATGTAGGCCAGACTGGAAGAAAACTTGGCACAAGACTGAACGAACATAGTCTGGCCATCCGCCGCCACGATGAGAAATCCTTAATGTCAGTACACATGGATGCCGAGAACCATCAGTTCGATCTGGAGAACGTTGAAATAGTTGGAAGAGCAAGAAACCGCAGAGCGCGTGAATTCCTCGAGGCCTGGCATTCTGGTCGGAACTCAATCAACAAACACCTGGAGCTGGAGGGTGTCTATGAAGCTCTGCAGGTTAAGCCAGCATTAGGCACCAGATGGACAAGGAGAAGAGGTGCCCACTCGACCAACTCACGTGAACCGTTCGAAGGCTGACATTCGAAGTAGGCAACAATCAATAGTCACTCGGATCTGACATTGGTTTACGAGACCGCGAATCAGGACTGAATAGCCGCACTGAAGATGTTGCCTAGTTTGGCAACGAAACGTCTGCAACCGAAATGCCCAGCTCGGAGAACAGGACAATCCTCTCACCTGCTTTGAATACCAAGCGTCAATAAACTCATGTGCTTGCCGGCTTGTGGCTCTTTCGAGAATTTTCACGTGCTCCAAGTCGAATTGCTGGCCTTCAGCATCCATATGCATGGGCATCAAAGAGTTCTTATCATGACGGCGGATGGCTAGATTATGTTCATGTAGCCTTGTGCCAAGCTTTCTTCTTGTTTGTCCTACGTAATATTTGTCACACTCGGCAGCATATCTTGTAGATTATACCAGATGTTTCCCACTTACTGAGTTTGTCCTTCACTTTGAAGACCTTATTTCGTATTGTTTCTGTTGGTTGGTGGGCAACTTCGACTCCTAAAGGCAACCCAAGTCTCGCTGTCATTTCTGAGATTCCGTTAATGTAAGGTAACGGTTTGCTTTTCAGTCGTTGCATTTGTTATGGTGTGTTGTGTTGCTTTATGTGGGACCAAGCAGCACAGAATGAAGCCTTTCGGGTATGAATTCCGTTTGAACAGACTGATGAAATGGTCTTCCTCCGCCTGCCTCAGCTGCTGCGTGCTACAATGTCTCCGTGCTCGTTTGAAAAGAGCACGCAGCTGCGCTTGTGGACTACTGGACGATTGCTGTTGTGGTTGAGGATCTGGTCCGTATGTGTTGATTTTCGATAAACCGTTGTTTGGAGTGGTCCTGAACCAGTTCTACATATGAAAACGTCCAAAAATGGTAGTTGCCCATCGTTCCCCTCTTCCCTCGTGAATTGGATGCCGTCCACCACACAGTTGATTAGCTCATGTGTCTCTTCTAGTTCGGAGCGTTTGAGCATGACGAATGTGTCGTCTACGTAGCGCACCCAAAGTTTCGGTTTCACATTTGGGAGTGCTATTCGTTCTAGCGCCTGCATCACTGCTTCGGCTACCAGTTCAGAAATCGGTGATCCCATTGGTGTTCCTCTTATTTGCAGGTAGATTTGGCCGTTGAAAGTGAAATGTGTTGATAGACAGTATCTCAGCAACTCCATCATTTGTTTGGCGTTTGTTTTACTATTTATGTCGAAAGCTGCTTGTTCCTCCAGTAGAGCAACCACTGTTTGTTTCGCCAAGTTGATGTCAGTAGATGTAAAGAGCGCCGTCACATCAGAACAGACCATTATTTCGTTTCGTTCTATGGTTGGGGTTTTGAGTTTTGTTAGAAACTGTTCTACCGAGTTGATCGAGTGTTCTGACCCCACAGTTAGATGTTTTAGTCGTTTCTAGAGTTGTTTTGCAAGTCTGTAGTTTACAATGCAGCCGTCCAACCCTACCGTTCGGTTGCGAAACCTGGCCACTAGATCAGCCGGCATAAAGAGATTAAAACACAGTGTTGCAAAGAGATCTCTTTTCGGCAGATCACATCAGGCAAATACAACTACAGGACTGTAAAATGCATTAGTAAACTGGTGCAAGTAACAATGAGGACGGATGGGACGATTTGAACAGTTTTAGTATGTTCATTTGATGCTCGAATCGATTTAATCAGGTGACATCGTGATCGGGCTAACCGAGAGCTAAAAAACTTGTGTAAACAGAAAGGGCAAAATTACTAACCAAATAAAATTAGTTAATTACGCAAATAAATAGCACCCGGTTAAGCGAGATACTCCGGGGAACCATATCATCAGGGCCATGGCAAAGTCAAGGGTTGCACGAGCACCCTATGCTTGCATAGCTCTGGTTGTGTTAGCCTGTGCGATGGCTCCAAAGGCTTATTGCCTCATTTGATTCTTATTGGAGGTATATGGATGACACTTTCATCATCTGTGATTCGCACATTGATGTCAACCATTTGCTGGACCAGTTCAACAGTGCACACCCCTTAATAAAATTCACTAGTGAAATGGAGAATGAAGGTAAGCTGGCTTTTCTGGACGTTTTGTTGAGGAGGCGCGAGGACGGATCACTTGAGCGTAGAGTCTTCCGCAAAGCTACTTGGGTAGGACAGTACACACACTTTTCGAGCTTTGTCCCTCTGAGGTACAAACGCAACTTAGTACGTTGCTTGAATTACCGGGCCACCAAAATTTGTAGTCCCGAAACTCTCGAAGACGAGAAGGACCGAGTTGTGAAAACACTTCTTGCGAATGGATACCCAGAGCCTTTCATCAAAAAGCATGCCATGACCCGTGAGCGTGATAAGCCCGTAGCAACGGTTCCGAAGAAGGATGTGTTTCTCACTGTTCCTTTTAAGGGAGATATCGCCTTCGATCTCCTGAACAGAAGACTTTCTAATGCCGTAGCAAGAACCTACCCGGCCGCCCAACCGCATGTAGTTGCAGAGACCGCTCCCTTCATAGCTCAACGCCTTAAAGACAGACTGCCAGTGTCGTCCGAATCGTACATTGTTTACCAGTTTACTTGCACCTGTGGTGCAAAGTACCTCGGGCATACGACCAGGCGTCTGTCGGTACGAATAGCTGAACATTGTCCAGGGTCATTGCGGAGAGGCATGCACAGAAGTATCAACAGCTCAATTATGGAGCATCTGATTCTTAGTGGGCATCAGATTCTGACAAAAGATGCTTTCAAAGTCTATTATGCCGTACCGAGGCGATACCCGAAAGGGCTAAGGAAACGCCTCCTGCAGACAGCTGAAGCCATCGCGATCAGGCTAACACAACCAGAGCTATGCAAGCATAGGGTGCTCGTGCAACCCTTGACTTTGCCATGGCCCTGATGATATGGTTCCCCGGAGTATCTCGCTTAACCGGGTGCTATTTATTTGCGTAATTAACTAATTTTATTTGGTTAGTAATTTTGCCCTTTCTGTTTACACAAGTTATTTAGCTGTCGGTTAGCCCGATCACGATGTCACCTGATTAAATCGATTCGAGCATCAAATGAACATACTAAAACTGTTCAAATCGTCCCATCCGTCCTCATTGTTACTTGCACCAGTTTACTAATGCATTTTACAGTCCTGTAGTTGTATTTGCCTGATGTGATCTGCCGAAAAGAGATCTCTTTGCAACACTGTGTTTTAATCTTCCATGGGCATTATTTATGAAATAAAGAGATTAGTTACCTTCGACCATCGCTGCCTGCGCCGCTCAGCTCATGTCTGATTGGAACACGCGTGAACAATGAGCGTGTTCAGCGTCGTACTTGGTGCACGAGGAGCGAACGAACCGCTGAGCACCATTATATCACGCACTAGACTCCGATGGCTGGGCCACGTTACACATGCCAGCACGCTGACTCTTGCATCGTGCGTTGTTTGCGCGCCAGGGGTGTGGATGGAAGAAGTGGGGTGGCCAAGCGATGACTTGGTCAGGAGGAATGAAGTCCCTCACTTCTAACTTGGCATCGGTTAGGTTTTTTCCGACTTCCGGGCTAGGGTCCAAAGGACGATGAACACCTTTACTTGGATACACTAGCTGACATAACGAGAAACCGACTTCAGTGGCGTTTAGGTTGAGTCACTTTGTCCCTCCCCTCTCTCTTAGCTTTTCCTCGAACAATGATCTTAGCCCAATGCGCAATGTGATTTTAGCATTATGTCTGCATTTTGTATTGCGGCACATCAGCTGCGGTGTGTTTCTCACCCTCGGCTAACGTGTATGGACGATGATGATGATGATGATGGCCTGGCAGCGTCAATTAGGCAGGATATGTGGGCAGTAACTGGTTACAAAGGATGTAATACTAATCATCTTATGAGTTCCTGGTTCATTGATACGCAGGATGATTACTTACGGGTTTCTGTTATTGTTCCGGTCCCAAATAATTTGAACCTGACTCACGGATCATAGTTGCTTTACTACGCTGAAGTTATTCAGGCTTGCATATTCTTGCGACTCCGAACTGCTCTCCTTTATCGCGAATTCGGTTTACTGGTTGATTGGCTGCTTATTTCTCGACTGCTGGTAGGTCTCACTTTTGTCCTCTTGGTGTACTACTTTCTGTTTTGACTTTCAGCATAATGGCCTTCCAGTATACGTATGCAATCGTGAGCAAGGTTCCAGAGTCATTTGCAGCCTTTCGGGAGGACAGGAACGACGATACTTTCAACCCGCGGGAGGCATTTGTTAACGCACAAGATGAATGCACTGAATTCGTGGAAACACTCAGGAGTATCGGGGTGGATATACTTGAACTCAAAGCGGAGGAACGTCATCCGGAATGCGTGAAGGTCGATGACACGGCCGTTGTCATTAACGGCACAGCACTCATGTGCAACCCTTATGGCCCTCATAGACAAGGAGAGGTACTCGTTTGCAGTCAGTTTTATCTTTTTAGGTGAATTTGATACGACAGACTTTAAAGAAAGAAGTAGGTGTGAAAGTTGTGGAGTTGAACACGGAAAATTCACAAGTGGAGGGGAGCGATGTCTTGTTCACTGGTGAGACTCATTTTTAAAGGACTTCCATGGGATCTACTCCATCACGAGAGACTGATATTTATGGTCTCAAGTTTTTGGTTCGTTTTTATGCTACAAACACCTATCATTTTAACCTTCAACAGCAAAGTGCTAATGTATAGTGTCTGCAACGTAGACGGTTCCATTCCCTAGCTGCCAAACCGGACTAAATTCGAATGCAGTCGTCCACCAGTACACCCTGCCCTTATAGGCTATCACGATCGATTCCCTCACCAGAGAGTAACCCTAGGACAGTCATACATCGGTCTCTAGTATGGCGGATCTAATTTTTTGGCTCACATTCCAACGATAACAAGGATAAAAAACCGCGCAATGAAGCGAGAAATATCGAACTAGAAAAAGTAGACAAGGACATGAAAAAGCACGGCTGCTGAATCGTCGGACTTAAGAATTAGTAATTGCGACCGATATTGTATCCTATAAGAGTTCCGACTATCTGTTCAGCTCCATAGGTTCACATCCCAAGAGACGGCAGCCTCCGACGTCGCAGTTTTGCGGTCATTCTCCTTTTTCTCACGTCATAACCTTGTTTCTCTGTGGCTTCACTCAGCACGGGGAAACAACAGTCATCGAGTTTCTTCCGGTGGACGTGCGAGAAATTTGGACGGTGAGAACTGTTCTGGGTTCTCTTATCGTCCACTTCGGCGCCAGTTCATCCGCTGTTGAACACTGACTGACAAACCACCAAATGGGGCAATGCTTGTTAGACACCTGTATTCAAGGAAGAGCAACCTATCTATGTTTTTGGCCTCCACTGGTCACTACTCCATTCCATGCTTTAAATTAATCGCACTGCAACTTTCCATGCCCTTCGATTGACTGGTAACCCTATGCCACTCAGTGCAAAAGCAAACGGGCCTTCACAAGATGAGCGAACAAAACACAAATCACCGTCTTCGACAGCGCACTCAAAAGGCAGTGTTTATATAACACCACACAACAGCATGAAATGACGCCGATTCTGTTTACGGGGTAAGCGACGAAAGCTCTATGCAAGTGTGCACAACAATGATGTAAGCCTAATTGGATAGGTATTTGCTAATGGCACTCTCGATGTTGCCGGTGAGCGACAAGCCGGTACATACGTCGCGGTGAACAAAGATGTAGGGCGATTTAAGCTGGTGTGGCACGGATTGTAGCCACAGGGAGCTCGCAAACGGGATGGCCACAGGAGGGGCGAGAATTCGAAACGGGTGTATACAAAGTGTGGACATCCAGAATGTAACCGGTCGTGGCGTAGACCGAATTTTCAGTTGACCCACGAGGGTAACAACGCCAGGGGCGGCACACTAGCTAAGGCTACTGCTGCTAATGATGACAAATAACTGCAGAAATGATAAACCAGGGATTTAGCCTCTTACAAGGTGCTTTTGTATCACCTGCGTGTGCCCCAACCGACTGCCATTTAGAGGCTACCAATGGCAGTTACTATCGGCAAGGCTAAAAGCACATATATCATGATCTTTAACTGTAGTATATATGCTTACGTGAGTTGCTTACCGGACTCCGAACACTGTATGAAAGTCTGCCTTCAGATCCATGCACGCCGGACAGATAATGACGATGGATTTCTTCAACCTTGTAGTAATGATAAATTTTGTGGTAATAGCACCACTTTTCAGCACAAACTCTCACACTGCGTCACCCACTGTGAATCGGATTATCAGTAAACTAGACCCAAGTTGATCACATTACCAACTGCTATAGGTGGCGCCCATCACTTTAACATATTCTGTCGATGTAGCTCACGTGCGTAGCTTTATATCATGTTCTTGTTTGCACACACAAGTCTTCGAGGACGCACCTGACTTGGATGCAAATTTCGTAACTCATCAATATATAAACCAACTGATTCGCTGGTTGTCAGTGACGAATCAGACGGATAAATGGAATGCCAACTAGAATCATCTCGAACTTGAAACCAGCATATCGAGGGGGGGTTTCTGAAGCATCGATCAGCATGATCTAGGGAAGGAAACCGCTTCCGTTTGATACCTATTTTCAGCGTGCCCATGAGAACGAGAAACGGCATCTAGCTTGGAATCTTGGAATCAATCAGAAGTGTTGGTGATCGGCAACAGCCCGTGAAATGGAGCAAACTAGATCATTTGTCTTTATCGTTAGGATTTTCTCCACTTTTTGAGTCTTGTACGGTCACGAGGTTCATGCACCCCTTTTCCCTTAAGCAACGATCAACAGTCTCCTGGAGCCAGTAATCTTGGTGGTGAGTAATAGACAAGTAGGCACCTTGTCAACATGCACACCAAGCGCAGCCACACCGGGGATATTATTCAACAACAAACACCTGAAACGCAAGAAACTCAACACGCAGGCACGCGTACAGACCAAATGCAACTGAATACTGTATTATAGAGCAAGTAGAAATGAATTCTGTACGACTCTTTCGAAATATGGTGAAAAACGTTTTAACAGTTGTCAACCGTGAATATCGTTGTCGTTCTCATGTAACATTTAAATTATCTGACTCACGATATTTCAGGACTCACAAATGTGATATGTCATCGTAAGTGTGCAATCGTTCTCTGAATCTAATAGTGGTAAAATATAAATCTAACAACGTTTTGAACTGCTACACAGATGTTGCCTCCATCACATGTTCAGGTAAACTGTTCCAAATGTTTACCACTCTCCGTTCGAAGTACAGTGGGTGGGGAACACATTTCACATCCGGCACGACAAGTTTGTATCTGTGTCCGCGTGTGCTGCATGGCCCTCGTAAGTGCAGCATTGGCCTTAACATTGGAAAGTCACCGAGATGTAGAATACGGTAGGTCCTAATGAGGTCGACCCGCATCCGACGGTAGGACAAGGTGTAGAGTCATAGTTTCTCTCACCGGTCTTCATACCCCAAGCCACGTAAACTCGGGATGAGCCTGGTAGCAACGTGTTGGACCCGTTCGATCTTTTGTGCTTCGCCTCGGGTAATCGGCAAGTAGACGGGCGAACCGTACTCTAGCATTGGTCTAATGATGGAAGAGGAGAGGCGAGTGGCAACCTCTTCAGACCATGTGCCGAAGCTACGTTTGAACGCCCAAAGCATGCGCAGTCCGTTACGATATAGCCTGTTCGTGTTGTCCACGGACTTCAAATCATAGCGTGAGAGTACACCTAGGTCCTTCACGGAGGGTGTGGGATATAGCGGTTGGCGGTCAAGGGTGTCGGTTCGGCCGTCAGCACCCTTCCCCAGACTCATAAATACAGACTTGGCTGGGTTGACCGGGAGAAGAACTTCTGAAGACCATGTGGATATGCGGTTGAGGTCTTGCTGAAGTAGGCCACAGTCATCAGAAGCGTCCATTTCTCTCCAAATCTTCATGTCGTCCACAAACATGGCACACACCGACCGGAGAAGCTGCGGTAGATCGTTGATGTGGATCAGGAACAGAGTGGGCCCCAGCACAGTGCCTTGAGGCACGCCACTTGTAGAGGGGTACCAGTCAGATGGTCGTCAACCTGTACCCTCCACTTTCGTCCAACAAGAAAGTCGCGGATCCACCGGTGCAGTGAGCCACTGACAGCACACATTCTGAGTTTGTGAAGGAGAACCTCGTGGCTGACCTTGTCGAACGCTTTACTGAAATCGATATCACATCGACGGACTTCCCCTTGCTTATTGCCTTCAACCACTCATGCCTCATCACAAGCAGGTTCGTAATGCATGAGCGACCTTGCATAAAACCGTGCTGTGCGGGCTTCAGGACCTCGTTAGACTGTAGCAACTGCAGCAATCCCTTCTTCACGATTTTCTCAGCAACCTTTGCCAAAATAAGTGTCAGACAAATTGGCCTGTAGTTGTCTACTTTGCTAGGGTCGCCGCCTTTCGGAATAGGCTTCACCACCGAACATTTCCAGTCAACCGGCAACGAGCCTTCGGACAGCGACCTGTAGAAAAGGTCAGTCACGACAGGAGAGATGATGGTCGAAATTGACTTGAGAACCAGTGGGTGAAGCCCGTCAGGCCCGGCAGGTTTGGTGCCGTCAAGGTTAGCGAGTAGTTGAGCTACCCCTTCAACGCCGCAATGCGGACTATCGAGTTCGGTAAAAGCGGTACACGTTGAACTCGGAACAGACACCTGGTTATTCGCAAATACAGAAGCGAAGTGCGCCGCCAACGCGGACGCACGCTCAGTGCTTTAGGTTAGGGGCTGTCCATCCGGGCCATCCAGCACTGGCACATCACCTGCCGGCTTCAGGCGTCGCTTCACTTATGCAAAGATTCTCTTTGGGGTGGTCTTCGCGGTTACTGCGAGCTGCTCTTCGAAATGTCGGCGTTTATTCTTTTTTGCACTGTTGCAGAGGTTCCGCTGACATTTATACTCTTCGTAATCATTGGTAGAGCCTGAGAGGAGGAATTCGTCCCACAGTCTGCGCCGCCTCCGAGCCAGGTTTCTATACTCTTTGTCAAACCAATGAGGCTTAATTGGTCCAACCTTCTGACATTTCAATGGCACAAATTTGGAACACAATGATGTCAATCTCTCTTTTATAAATATCCAAGAGTCTTCCCCAGATGCAGCTTGTGACAGACCAATCTAGTTGGCTCGCGGCTCGAGCTAGACCATCGAAGTCCGTTTTCCAGTAGTTGGGAGCTGGTTCCAGCGGACGTGAATACGGCAAAGATAATTCCATATCAGCTATGAGCACTGAATGGTCGCTTGTAGCCAGGGGCTCCAGGATCCTAACGTCACGCACTCGTTGTTCGTAGCTCGTTAACATCAGGTCAAGACAGGACGGGGTTGAACGTGTTGTTATGCGTGTTGACTGGCATATGTGTTGCGATGCACCAGTTCCAAGTACCAAATCCGCGAACTTTGCTTCAAGCATCAAATGCACATCAGGCCATCGTATTCGAGGACAGTTAAAATCGCCCATAAGTAGAAAGTGTGGACGACTCATGTGGGTTCGAAGAATGGGCAGCCAATCCAAACAACGACTCAGGG